GTAAGTTATGTCACTTTCCACTAGGGCCGTATACTAACGAAAGAGTATTCGTATAAAGTAGGTAGAATAACTTTTTGTTTACTACACTGCCATTCAGAGCACACTTTAACAATTACACTGATTTTTAGTATTATAACGTGATAACTTTTCTTGTAAAATAATTAATCCGTAGGAGCAATAGTGCATATTTAAGAGGTGGCTGTTATTAGCTGTAACCTTTTGAAGGCTAGAAAGGGTAGGCCCTTTACACATAGTCTATCAGCCTTACAAATAAACATGGTATAAAGTTAAACTTAGGAATAAACTGAGTATTTCCTTATACTCAGTTTATTCCTAAGTGTAACTTTATATTGCGTTTATTTGTAAGGCTGTAAAAGTTTTGTCTTAAATTAAATTGATAGTAACAGAAACTATAGATTATAGTATAAATATGAAGATAGAAAAGATGATGTTATGTCAATGGCTTATTACTTTTAATCACTTGTTTGTAAATTTCAAAATGAATATATACATTTTTCACAACCATTTCTTAGTTTGCATTAATTCTGGTAGATTTCGAATAAATGCATATTTTAGATTTTTACAAACATGTAACAGTAGTGGTAAAAACGATAAAACTAAGGGAATGTATCTTATAACACGAACATCGACTCATATGACGAGTTTACTTTCGTACAAATACTCATTGTACGTGTTAAAAAGATCGCAATGCAACGAATGAACTGGGATGTAAAAGCTCGAACTGGGATATAAAAGCTTGATCTAGGACAGTTCTCGTCACGACGAACGCTATATCGGAGATGCCGCGATTATGTGGCGACGTTTTAACGACTCGGTGAAAATAATTAACACTCCAATTATAGCCACTTTAACCCGACATCGTTAGTGTCACTTCACGCTTTATCGGTTAGTTTTATTTTATTAATGTTATGAATGATTTGTTTGTTAATTCGGTCGACGTCGAAATTTAAAAAGTTTCGCTTCTTCGGAAAATAGTGTAAAGTTATACAGTTTAGTTTCTGATACATGTTTGTCAAATTGCTAAACCTATATCTTTGTATTTATAAATAGGATAGATTTCAGTTAATGTATGAAACAAAAAATAACTTAAAAATTCTTGGCTGGTTACAGTTTTTTTTTTCCTTTGAAAAGCTACATTATTACTGTGTAACTAGGCTGCATGTTTAACTAGATTTTTTAAATTACGCGGATAGTAATGAGTAAAAGACAATATGAGATATATTTAATGAATATTTCAATAAAATAATTATGTTGAATTTGACCGTTTGTGAGATTTGCTGATGTACCTATTACATAAAAGACATAAGCTAAGCCACGAGACAGTCGTAAACAATGTAAGTAGTTTGTAATAATGCATAATAGCACGTACTCGATGTATTGTATCGTCTATCA